AAGCTGCGCAACGAGGTTTCGTCACTCAGGCAGAGAGACCCCGCTTGCCGAAGCGCCGGTAAGATCAGCGGTCGGATCTGCGGCGGGCGCTCCTCTTCGTCCTCCTCCTCCACGGGTCGCGCCGCAGCCGCAGACTGGTGCAAGCGATGCCGCATAGAAGTGGTCGAGATCCTCCAGCCCACGCCTAGAGCGTGCCGAAGGGGCGTCCATAGCATCCACAGGGCCGTTCCTCTTTTTTCGTTTTCTTCCTATCCTCTTCCTCGTCGTCGTCGTCGTCGTCAGCCTCCTCCGCGTCCTTCTCCTACTCCTACTCCTACTCCTACTCCGCCTCCTCCTCCTCCTCGTCCTCCTCCTCGTCCTCCTCCTCCTCCTCCTCGTCGTCCTCCTCCTCCTCCTCCTCCTCCTCCTCCTCCTCCTCCTCCTCCCCCTTCTCCTCTCTCCGAACCCGTAGCGCGGCTGCACTGTTGCCTGCACCTCGGCGGGCCCCGCAGGCCCCCGAAACACAATAGAAATCATGGAGCCCGCATCAAAAGATCAACGCTATTAGAGGATCGGCAGCGGCATAAACGTAAAAGGTCCGCGCGTATTTCGCAGAGCGCGCCAGGGGCGGCGCCGGAGGCGCCTCCAGGGGAGGCCAGCGTGGATCCCGCAGACCTCCGAACGTTTACGCGTGTGCCGCTGTTGTTGTTCTCCGAGCTGTCGAACCACGTCAATGGTGCTTCACCACGGCGTGACTGCCTGGACCGCTGACAGCTCGACGTCTGCACCCTCGACCCCCCAGGCGCCCTGCAGGAGGAGCCCGACCACAAGAAACCTTGCACAAGAAACCCAACCCCTAGACCCCAGGACGTCAATTGATCCCTGGAATGGGGAAGGCACGCCTCCCACAGCAAGACCATCGAGACCCAAGAAGCCCATGGCACCCTGGAGGCCAGCAGAGTGCTTTCTTGGCATGGGCCCCCACTGTAAAATACACGCTTTTCCGCCATCGCGGGGACACCTGTCCCAAGGCTGCACGTTTCTCCAGGCCGCACCTCCCGTGCTTTTTCGGGGTCGTCCTCCGGGTCGTCCTCCAGCGCGCGCTTCCTCTGTGTCGTCCTCCGGCGCGTATCTCTTGGGACGCACGTCGTGCGATTCCTCTGGGTCGTGTTCCGAACGACGACGAGGAGGAAGGAGGAAGGAGGATGCAGGACGAGAAAGAGGAGGAGGAGGAGGAGGAGGAGGAGGAGGAAGAGGAGGAGGAGGCAGAGGCAGACACACTTCCAGGCCGCCCTGGGGCGGGCGTCCCCGATCGCGGAAACGCCCGTATCTCGCACCGCTCTCCGCCCGCCAAGAGGAACGAAAAACACCGCCCGTCGTTTGCCCCACGACGCGGGGGCGCCCTGGGCCTACGAGCCTCCCAGACCCCCGACGTCCTGATTTTTCATGACCTGACCCTCAGAAGTCTGGACCCCTTCCCCAGGGACAGGTGTTGCATCCCGAGTCGTTTCTTGACGGTCCCTGGCGGACCGGCAAGGCCCCCTGGCGGCCGAAGATAGCGAAAACCTCCCGCCGTGATTTTTGCCACGGCGCGAGGAGGTCTGGGCTACGACCCGCCGAGGGCTGGGAGGGCTGCTCCTCCTGGCCCCTCCTACACGCTGCGGCGTGGCGCGGCTGCTGCCGGCCCCAATCGCCCCCCCCTCCCCCCGGGAGCTGGAGGCACGCAGCGAGCATCGAAGATCGAGGCGCTCGGGCACCATGTGCGGGGCCCGCTGGCGGAGGACCCAGGCCCCCTCGCGCTGCGAGCAAGACTCACGACGGCAGGCGTTTCGCTCGGGGGCGGCCAAGAGGGGGGCGCCCTAGAAGGGGGGGCGCAACTCATGGCCGGCGGCATGTGCGCGGCCCAGGGGCGGGGGGGCCGGGGGCGCAATGAAAGAAGAAGGGGCGCCCTGAGACTTGGGGAAGTATCATGGCCCACACCATGATATCCACCCCCCCTAGTCGTCACCCCCCTCTTGGCCGCCCCCGATATGCTATTTTCGGCCTCCGGGGAGGCCCTTCCCGCGGGCCTCGGGAGCGTCAAAACACAACTCAGGACGAAAAGCCAGCCCCGGGGAAGCGGCCCAGGCCTTTGGTGGGGGCTGACGCTGAGAACAAACCACGACCTGGGGAAAGAGAGCTGGCCTGGCCCACCCTGGGCCCAGGATCGGCGGTGGACAAACCTCCTTTTCATGAGCCACCCTTGCGTAAAAACGGCCCAGCACCGAAAGCGACGGACCTGGACCCGCAAAACAAATGACGGCCGCGACGCCCTCTCGCGAACCGAAAACGGCCCATTCACTCATCGACGTGTCCGGGTGGGAGGTCCCTCCACCCCTGACAGCATCGGTGCACACGCTCTGGGCTCGGCCGGGGAGGCCGGTGCGCCGAGAGTCCTGGGCCCAGGAGGCGCCCGGCCAGCATCGAGGCACGCACGCGCCCGCTCTCCCGGGGCGCCCTCGTGGCCACGGCTAGATTCCCAGGCATGCGACGTCCTGATTTTGTTCCGCAGGGCGTCCCTGGAAGTCCAGACCCCTTCCCCAGAGCCGGCCCCTCATGCCGAGTGGCTTTCTGACGGCCCCGAGGCCCGGCGAGGGCCCCCATGGGGGCCGAGAACAGCGAACAACTGGCAGTCGTGACGTTTGCACGGCGCGATCGCGCCTGGGTTCTCCTCGGGCTTCTGGCCAGAACGCACAGGTGGGCCATGCGGTGAGCGAGCGGCGTGTCGACATGGCCGCGGGGCCGCATGCGTCTGCGCCCTCCGAGGCCGGCAGTCGAGCCCCCCTCCCCCACGGGAGCACGGTGTCAGTGAGGGCTGCGCGGAGGAACGGCAGCGGCTGCAGACCCACGACGAAAGCGCAACAGCCTCGGAGGGCTGGTCGGAGCAGGGCGCATGGAGACAGCGGAAGCTCCAAGAGCCGGTCCCCGGAGCCCCTCCCGAGGCCCGAACGCACCAGTTGTCCGAGCTGCGCCCGAGGCCCTGGCGAGGAGGGGATCCCCCGAAGGCTACCTACCGTTGTGAGCCTTACATATATATATATATATATATATATGTATATATATATATATAAATATGAAAATATAAGTGGGCAAGCTTACTTGCATGGCGTTCGCCTTCCCCCCCCCGCCCCACCATCCCTCCATTCCTCGCCCTTCTTGAAACGAATGCTAGCGCGCAAGTGCCTTTCGACTTACGTAATTCCCGCACGTCGAACCGTTTGCGACTTGCTTCAGGTTCAGGCCCCACCCCGTCCATGCAAATAAACTTGCCAGAGCCTAAGAAACAGGCTCTGTCTGAACTCGCTCTCCTCTGACAACAACGCCAGAGGGTTGGGGAAAGATGCATCGACGCGACTTTGCCGTCTGGCTTGATCGCCGTAGCCTGATCGGGGATCGCGAGTGGCCGCACACTCCCTGAACTCCGATGGAAGAAGGCGAGGACGCGAAGACAATGGAGGCGGGGGCGCGGACGCAGATGCTCGCCGTCCGCTGGGCCGCCGTCAACGTCATCGCCGCCGTCGTCGGCCTCGCTGGCGTCGTCGCGACGCGGAGCTGCCGACGCCGACGACGCTTCCGACGCCGCCGATGAGGCCACCGCCGACGCTGACGACGCCGACGCCGCAGGCGACGCCGACGGCGGCGGCGGCGCCGACACCGCCGCCGACGGCGCCGGTGACGCCGACAACGCCGATGCCACTGAGATCCGACGGCGCGACAAAATTGAAACATCGCAAAAACACAACCAGAGCCATAGACCCCATCTCTCTGCGCCACTCCTCGAGCTGGATCGATCTGTGAGGCTCCGTGGGCCCTAAGGCTGAGGAAAACGCCCGGCTTGAGAAAATTGGCGGCGCACCCAAGAAGGTAAGGGTTCATAATTAGAAGGAGGCTACTTCTTAGAAGTCGCCGGCTCTACATCTACAGACAAGGCCCGCGCCTTCTGACAAACAGGGGGGCTTCGAAGAAGCCTCCCCCCTCAGACATACCCTCGTATTTGGGTGGCCGAGGAAACCTGACGAAAGAGGAAGCCCAGCTCGGCAAACATCGAGACCCAGACATCTGACTGCTCCAATTTGCTCGATGCGTGGGCCCCAGAGGTCCGGACCACTGCCGACGGTCCCGCAGGAGGCCAGGCAAGAGCCCCCGGATGCCGAGATCAGTCCAACACCACCCGCTCCAAGAGCCTGTAGGCTCTGGCAAGTTTACACGTTGGTCGGAAGGAGTAGGTAAAAACATGAAGTAGGAAGGCGGATTAAGTTGATTGGGTCCAGGTCCTCCCAGAGAATAACAAAACACAGTCAAAGCGTGCCGATTCTTGAAGTAGGAAGGCGCTTGAAGTAGATTGGGATCTGGGATTCCAAAAATACCTACGTTCAACGACCGGCGTGTACTTGCATGGGCAAGGGGGGGCCTGAACCTGAAGAAAACCGCAAACGACCTGCGCGTGCGGAACTCACGCAAGGCAAACGGAACTTGCACGCTAGTGCGTAGTAATTCGTCTGAGGAGGAGCGAGGGAGGGGGTGGGGAAGGGGGGGGGCGAACGCCATGCAAGTAAACTGGCCAGAATCTAGAACAAACATGCTCGAGTCTCTTTTCGACGGTCCCGAGGCTCCGAGGCCAAGCAAGGGACCCCAGGAGGGCGAAATCAGTCCAACACCGCCCGCTCCAATTTGTCTGGAGCGTGGGATCTCCTGGGACGCCAGAATCCCCAGACCCCCGACGTCGTGACTTTTTTGTGACGTGACCCCAAAGAGCCTGGACCTCTTCCCGGGGACCATTTGTTGTTTCATCCCGAGTCGTGCCTTCACGGTCCCGAGGCCCGGCGAAGGCCCCCAGAGGCCGAAAATAGTAAACCACCTCCCGTCGTGATTTCTGTCACAGCGCGAGGGGGTCTCAAGCCCGCTCTTATTTTTCTGGAACGTCGGCTCTCCGGGGAGGCCAGGACCTCTGGGGCCCTCGTCGGTGGCGGCGGCGCCGCCGC